TTCCATATTTTTTATATAATTAAATTTTTTTAAATTATTATTTTAAAATTTGTTTTATTTTCTCTCTGCACTTCTTAGGTATATCTACTTTTTTCCTCTCTTAATTATGTATTATATTTTCCTCTCTCATACTTTTTATTATTTTTTTAATATATAAATTATAATAATTATTTTTTCTTTAATCTATTTCACTTTTATTTTTTTTATCTAAGGTGACGTTAAAAGGTGATTAAAAAATAATCTCTTTTAGAAGTTATATCTTATTTTCTCTATTTTTTTAATATGTTTCTTAAAAAAAATTTCTGTTGAATATAAAATAATAAAAAAATATTTTTTTTTATTTCTAATGATATATATTTTTTAATTTTTCTATTTTGATTCTGTCTAGAGTATCATTCATTATTTAAATACAAATATTTATATTTTAATATAAATAATAACAAAAGGCGTATATGGACCTAAGAAATTATAATATAAATAAAATAATTATTTATAAAGGGAAATTTTTTTATAATTGCTTTTTTTTTATTAAAACAGAAAATTTAAAGTATTATAATTAAAAAAAATATAAATTATATATTTAAAATAATAATAAAAATAGGAATTTAAAAAAGTGAATATATTTAAAGTAATATTTTAAAAGAAATTAATTATGTAACGTGATCCACTAGTGTAAATAAAAAATATCAATTTTATAATTTCTAATTAATTAAGGATGTGAAAATCACACTCATTATTCTTTACCTTCGGTCATTTTTAGCTTCTTTTTTGGGGCAAAAGAATAAACCTTTTTTTTTCTCTCTCAAAAGAATCTAATCTCTTTTAGAAGTTATATCTTATTTTCTCTATTTTTTTAATATGTTTCTTAAAAAAATTTCTCTTGAATATAAAATAATAAAAAAATATTTTTTTTATTTCTAATGATATATATTTTTTTAATTTTTCTATTTTGATTCTGTCTAGAGTATCATTCATTATTTAAATACAAATATTTATATTTTAATATAAATAATAACAAAAGGCGTATATGGACCTAAGAAATTATAATATAAATAAAATAATTATTTATAAAGGGAACTTTTTTTATAATTTCTTTTTTTTATTAAAACAGAAAAATTAAAGTATTATAATTTAAAAAAAATAATATAAATTATATATTTAAAATAATAATAAAAATAGGAATTTAAAAAAAGTGAATATATTTAAAGTAATATTTTAAAAGAAATTAATTATGTAACGTGATCCACTAGTGTAAATAAAAAACACTACAAAAAAAGCCTATTACCTACGGATAAAAATCCGTAGGTAAATTATATTAAACTAAAAGAATTGTCACTAGCAAGAATCGAACTTAGTACCTTAAAGTTGAAAATCGATACTCCAACCAGTAAACTATTAGGATATTCTAATAATAATTTACAACTAAATTATACTTATATTTATTCGTGTAAATATATAAATATATAAATATATAAATATAAATATATAAATATATAAATATATAAATATATAAATATATAAATATATAAATATATAAATATATAAATATATAAATATATAAATATATAAATATATAAATATAAAATATATAAATATATAAATACATAAATATATAAATACATAAATACATAAATACATAAATACATAAATACATAAATATATAAATACATAAATAGATAAATAGATAAATAGATAAATATATAAATACATAAATACATAAATATATAAATATAAATATATAAATACAAATATATAAATATATCAAAATATAAATATATTTTATATTTATATATTTTTTATTTATATATTTACACGGATAAATATAAATATAATTTATTTGTAAATTATTATCAAAATATCTTAATAGCTCGATTGGTTGGAGTATCAGCCTCCAACTTCGAAGTACTTAGGTTCGAATCCTGCCAATGACAATTCCCCTAATCTAATAATAATACAAAGTTTCGAAAATATAATAAATAATAAAAATATAATGTAAAGGGGAGGGGGTCCTAGGTAATATTAAAAAATAAGGGAGGGTTTGGGTTCGAATCCTGCCAATGACAATTCTCTTAATCTAATAATAAATATATAGTGTATTACCTACGGATTTTACCCATAATAAGCGTTTTTTTTGTAGTGAAATATCAATTTTATAATTTCTAATTAATTAAGGATGTGAAAATCACACTCATTATTCTTTACCTTCGGTCATTTTTAGCTTCTTTTTTGGGGCAAAAGAATAAACCTTTTTTTTTTTTCTCTCTCAAAAGAATCTAGTATATAATATATGCACAGAGAAAAGCTTCAGAATTTCCATGGTCCCCTAGAAAATGTTTCCAGGGCAAATGCAACATAAACATGGACCATTATTCCTAGGGCATCTTCTGCAACCAGTAAAGCAAAGCAATGTGTTCAGATATCACCACTGGATGATGTCAAAAAGGAATGAGAGAGAAATTGCAACCATTAATGAAGATACAGATACTTCTCCCTTGACAACAAAATCCGACTAGGTTCATAATTTCACAGCATTTTTTTTTTTCCTGTTTAACAAATCAGGAATTTTTCTCAATCAGTGACTGTTCCCTAACCGAAAGGCTACTGTGACAACACACAGAAGATGAAGAAACAAATTTGCATCACTATAAATAACAATGTTGCTGGTAAACAGTTCATTGTCATGCAAAGAATGAATAATGGCATTAGAATGGAAGATCAGTTGTCCCCTTGAATTCCCCTGACCACTTCGTTAGCAACCTTAGGTTTCACTTTTACTGAGGCTTTGTAGCTGCCCTATTGAAGTGTTTGGGGGAACTCTAGGAGCCACTTGATGCTTTTTCAACAGAAAAGTTGTTCATTAGTTACTATTATAATGATCTTTTTTCAAAAATGTAGTGTCTCAGGTACATGTCTTATATAGTATTTCATTTTGCACCGTTCTTGTTCTTGTTCTTCTTTCTTCTCTCTTGTGGTGCTGTCATTGAGTTAAAGCTTCGACATGATCATCAGTTGCATGTTTTATCTGTGTTGCTGGTTTAGAGCTATCTGCAGGTTTGCTTGTGCATGTAGAAATAGTGAATCATTTTTGGAAAATAGAAGCATTGGAAGAAGCTTATGATGACACCCTCTTTACTCGTCATACATTTATAAAAAAAGATGTAAAATCTGCTTCTATGCTGGTATAAATTAAAAAATAGTAACGTTCTGACCACTCAATTAGTACTTGCATCCTTTATATACGTATTTCTATTTCTCCCTTCCGATCACATACACCATTACAATAAATCAATAGCATTTTATTTATAAGAATTTTGCAGAAATATGTAGATATACAAGTATATTTTTAACAGTTTGTAGCGTCCAAGTTACACCATGTGTATCAGTATCAATTTTGATGATAAAAATAGTTAGGTAAAATTATTTAATCACTTTCAACTGATGAACATCTGACTTGGCCTACAACATCTCTAATTATGAATGTTTGTTTAGGAAATGTTTAAAGTTGTTTTAAGCAATTCATCTAATAAAGAGTATGACATAAACCAACAATGTTCTGGTGAATAAATTTTTCTTGTAGGTGAAGTAGTATCTCTTATTTTGTGATGGATTGTGTGGGAAGTTTATTCTTTTTAATTTTTTATTCTTATTTAATTATATGTTTATTTAATTCATAAATTCACAAGTTATTTTGATGATGTGAAAATAAATTTAAAACTTGATATTTTTAGAAAATGAAGAAAAAGTTTTAAAGTACGATTGAATCGAAATTAAACTGAATAAAATTTCATATGTAAGTTGAATTAAATACTTTACATATCTTGGAACGAAAGCGTAAGAATTTAAAGCCCAAAGATAAATATAAATTAAATCAATCTGGAAAGCGTGACACATCTCGTATTTATTTATTAATTCATCTTCATCCCAAATAATAATTTCCTTTCCTCTTCAATCTCCACTAAATTAAAGGGATATTGAATATTCATTTTAACAAATTTCACCTTTTGATCTAAACTTGTAGACAAACATCTTGCCAGCATCATCGTATCCATAGAGGAAGATAAAAATCATGTTTAGAAATAATTATAAAAATATTTGGTATGACACGAATAAATTACAAAAATTAATTAGTGTTATTGATTCTGAACGGAAATGTAGAAGGAAATTAACGAAAGGGAAATATTTATGCTCTTTTTTGTGATTTTAATCTCTCAAATATGAATCACTTTGTTTTAATCGTCTAAATTAAAGTTTACTTTTTTCCCCTGAATTTCAGAAAATACGGTTTTTTATACTATTATCTTTGGTAACAAATGCAATAATGTTAGCTTTAAAAATCATTTTAAATATCGAATTGTAACACTTGCAAAGTAATATAAATATTCATCTCAACCACAAATTAAACGCTCTTCATTTCTTATTTTTTTTATCATTTACATATTATCTTTCAAGAAATAATTGCATCAAATTGTTAGTGGTCATATTTTTCTATTTTATTTTTTGGCGGATGCCACTTTCATATCATCATTATAATAAGCGTAATAATGTGGCTAAATCTAAAAGTAAAACCCGTTTAGTTGAGCATTTGCATGAGAATATGTTTTTTAATTAAAATATGTTTCAAATAATTATGCAAATTTTGGGAAAATCATGTAATCACTTTTATTGAGAATTCTTCTGACGCCTCATAATTTAATTATGAATTTTTATATGAAAAAGTTTCTCAACATGAAATATGACATGTTTGAACCATTTCGTTTGCACTAGACGACATAACAATAAGCACACAGCTTAATCCGTAAATATATACCCACCAAAGTACTCCAGTCCTATTAAAAGAAATTTGAATATACGCTGATCACAATATCCTTTTCTGTATCCATTACCATAAATAGAAATGAAAATGAAAAGTAATTAAATGTTGCAATGTAAGCCTGCATTTTTTTTACTATCCAAGTTTTTACCTCCTTCGAGTATCCTTTGCCTTGAAAAATAAGGTAGCATCACCTTCTCCACTGAGGTTGGATCAATTTCTCTGAAATTGATGATATCCATAGAACACAGTGATTAAGGGACAAAGAGAAGGGCTAAATAACAAATCAGAGTGCACTTACAACATATTTTAAGTGAAATTACTGAGAATTCACAAAATGAAACAATTTGAATTCCAATGAAAGTAGAAGTAGTGAAATTTCTTCTTTATTAATTGCCGAGATAAAAATGCAGCTTGCATTGAAAAGAACTTTTGTTAGTTAAAAAGAAAGAAAATTATAGTTTTCAAACAAGCTAGTGAGCTTATCTAAACTAGTCCTGTCGTAGCATTCATAACATCAGCAAAACTTTTCCTTACCACAAAACGTTCAAGAAACTAATATAAGTATGTACTTATGAAGATGGATACTTGTGTTGTGTCTATTCATATCACTGTATTGTATTAATGTACTCCAAAAATGTCTATCATAATCTATTTCTTCGTTATTTTAAGTGTGAAGGGGACATAAAACCAGCGCTTCAATCAATCATATAATTAAAAAAAATACAAACAACAATCATAGATACTCACCAGTTCCATCCCTTGAAGATGACAGAGATCTATCAGACCTTATCATTCCTCTGCCACTGGCGGCTATCAGCCGTTCAGCTCTCGGGGAAAATGAACCTGACCTGCCATTAAGTGAGGATGAAAGTGAATGCCGCCTGGCTGTACTGCTTTTTTCTACCAAATCAGTAGCAAATCTTGGGGAGCCTTGTCCTCTTAGCTTAGCCTTTGCAGATTCGGTAGGAGCCATATAACTGGGCAGTCTTGGCGTAACAGGAGTAGTATATAACTCAGTATCTTGATCACTAAAGTTAGCAGGTAGTGAAGCTCTTCTCTGGCAATTGTTACTGATACAATTGTCACCACCACCATTCAGATCCTCACTGACTCCTTGAATTCCATCATTTTCACCCTTCTTTTCACTAGTCTTTGAGACAGCAATAGGATCATCATGTGGCTCATTATCATTCACATCTTTTCCTTGATGTACATGAACCTTCTCAGGATCAGACTCTTCTGACTTTGCCACTGTCAAATCTTTCATTTTCTCTGAAGAGGCACTTGGGTCCTGCTCTGACACGTCAGTGACGATATGATCTAAAATCTTTCTACTGGTGTGCTTTCTTTTTTCATTAACAACCTCAGATCCATTTGGAACATTCTGTGCATGTTTTTTTTCAAGACAACTTTTCTCAGCTTCTTTTTGTGGGTGTTCCTGAGCAGAAGGCAATGGATGGCTTGAATCTTTTTTTGGACGCTGTTTAGATTTGTTAGCAACTGAAACCGAGCCATTGTCAGCTTTCACAGCAGGAGATTTACGAGTATTTCTTTTAACTTGTCCCCTTTGTACTGTCTGAGAACTGCCATTTTTCACATCAGACACTGAGTCAAATTTCTTTTTCAATGCAGGAACAGGTGCCCAAAAATGTGACTGCGTCCAATAGTCAAGCCACTTCCAAGCCATAGTAGGTTCTACAGGACCACTGGTGAGTGATAGAGGAACTGCATACGGGGACGAAGCCAGAAGCTAAAATGGATAACATACGTAATGAGATTTAATCCCAACCAAAATAATAGAGTACATAGTTTCAGAACAATAAGAATTAAACAGTAACAGTAAAAAGTACACAATCTGTTCACAACCTTCCTTCTGCCATTCATATTTAAAAGTCATTAATTAGTGTGTACAGTAAAAATGCTAATTGACCAAAAAAATAATGTCAACTTACAATTCAACAACCGTGAGATTTATTACAAGTTCAGTGACAAAAACTAAGTTGATAGAGTGGTCATCCAACATTACTAATTATTGGAAAATGTCATTCTCCACAATTCATTGCAAAGACAAGCAGTTTGAGGAAAAAAAATTGAATATTGCAAGATGAATAAACTTCAATTGAAGCATACAGTAAATATATGAATACAATGTGGTGTGCAACAAGACTAAGAACCTAGAACTATAACCAAAACAAGCCCAAAACTTTCATCTCATAGAACATGGAACTATAGACAAGTTTGAGTCCATAAGTTGAGACAAATAAAAGGAAATAAAGTAGCTCCACATTAGGAGAAAGTGAAAAGCCCCAAGCTCACAAAAAATCACGGAAGAAATCGCATTATTATCCATTCGCAATATCTTGTAGTTTTAATTAACTGAATAAATAATATTTCAGATATTTATAGAGCCTAAATAATCTATTTATCCTCTACGTGGGTATAAAATATCAGTTTTTACCTTGCAAACAAAGACATTTTCCGACAGCTTCTTTGCCTGAGAGGATGAAACTACCGAAATAGAATTTGAACAATGAGTATCCTGACAAAAACATGTTGAAGTGGTAGTTAGTCAATAATAGAAAGGCAGGGAGAATGCAATTGAAGACAGTCACTAGAAGATGTCAACTGTAGGGTAGAAAAAACCTTTGAATACTAAATGATAAAAAATTTCCACCAGAAAGGCATCACTGAATTGATGAATTAGTTAAAGAACTTTTACCTTACAAATTTTCTGGACGGCAAGCCCAATATCAGAACGTCTAACATTGTAACCACGAACCAATGCTTGAAATTTAACTATTCCCTTCACACAGTATACAGCAGAAACAGCTTGTCTTCTAACCAAGTGACCACGAATGAGAGCTTGTAGTTGTATGGTCCCTTTGAGTGTTTGAAATGTTTGACGAGCCTTCAATGAAAATGAAGGAATCACTTTTTGCATTCAATAACATATATATATATATATATATATATATATATATATATATAGAAATTTCACAATGAAGAATATATGCCTAGGAAACTTGCACACAAGAGAATCAATGGATACAGCAATTCTTGATGAAATATAATATGACACAAGAGAATTTCAAATAAGAATTCAATAATAAAATGCAGGACAGACAAGACAATGACTATAAATGAAATACCTATATTTTCCTTTTCCCTACAACTTAAAATTGAAATATTAAAAGTGAAATAAATGAGGTTGCATTTGTATCTGTAAATATTTCTAATGCATTTATATATGGAATGCCTGGATGTCTTTCAGATAATTATAACATACAGATCAATTAGTATAACATGATTGTATTCTATAATTGCAAAGGGGTGATTACCAGATAGCTTCTACAAGCAGCCTGAAGTTTTATAGCTGCTTCTGTAAGCTGAAGTTTCTCAAGATCCTCCTGAGATCCCAAATTAGCAACATCCTGCACCTTAGCCTCTTCATCTCCGGTTGAAAGAACATCTTTATCATGTGATGATCTACTAACTAACTCCTTATCCAAAAGAACTCCTTTAGTATCATTAGCTCCAGATATCGGTGGAGATATCAGCAAAGAATTGACAGGTGGATCAGACACAGGTACCTCAGAAGACACCACCACATCCTTATTACTTGAAGGTTTCTTAACACGCAAAATGGAAAACAATTACAACATGCATATTTCAAAAGTCTAAGCACTCACAATAATAGATCACAGGAAACAACATTGAGACATTCTCCCTACCGTAGTTTCTTTGTAACAAATTATAAACACAAACTAAAGTCAACCACAAAATACTTACAAAAATATCATTCTTCTTTGATGAAGTAGACTTTGACGACGATTTCTTCCCCAAGAGTAAGTTCTTGAACCATTTCCCAGGACTTCTTCCTTTCCCCATGTCAACCACAAAACTCAAGCATCAAAATCTGCAAGATTCAACTAAATTAAATTTACTAGCCGTAAATTTAAAATTTAAAACTAAAGACATTAATACCCCACCTTAAAAGCATTTTACAAGTATAACTAATAATGGAACCATGAGTGAGCAGTTAATTACAGAGAAAGTTCCGTAATGTAATTGAAAAATCCAAATTCAAACCGTGAAGCCTATTTACAAAAAAGGACAGTAACTCGAACTGGAAGTCAAAACAAACAAAAATTGCAATTAATTCTACACAGCACCAACCAAGAGTCAATTTAAGTCTTTCCTTAAAAATAGCATTAAAACCAGCAAACCCCAACCCAAAAATAATAAACAGCCATTAAGTTTTATCTTAAAATAGAAAAACCCAACCCAATGAAGTCAGGGTAGAACACGATACAGCAGATTCAGATCAACAACACACAAAAGCAAGGAGAAGTGAAAGATAGTCAAACCCACAAATAGAAAAGGAAGGAGCAGAACCCTAAACCTCCATTGTTGAAGAAATGAAACAGAAAGGAATTGGTTAAAAGTATTATGAAGAAAAATGATTTGGTAAGAGTAAAGGGTGAGAAGGAAGAAGAGATTTCGGAAGGTGAGGTGTGGATCAAAGTTGCCGTTTTTGGTTGCAACGAAGGGAACAGTGAGAAACTGAAGGGACATGGAAGGAAGAGAAAGTATGGCTGAAGCTGAAAAGCAAAACGTCACAGATTCCTCTTACGAGGTTTCAATTTTGAACCAAAAAAAATAAAATAAAATAGAAGCATCTCTGTTTGAATTTTTTTCCCCCAAAAACACTAATTTGCCAAAAGATTTATTGAAACAAAACTCTTTCAAAATTACTTCTCTTTTTCTTTTTTAAAATAATATTTAATAAAATAAAATGAATAATATATTTATATTTACATGTTAATTAATTAATTTAAAAATTATAATACTTTGTAATTTAATAAATTGAAAAAAATTATTAATATTTTATGCGTAAATTAATAAGTTTCAATTTAATTTATACTTTTTATTTTTTAATTTAATAGTCTTAATTTTAAGATTTAATTTATTGGAATAAAATAATGTTAATTGTCACATGAAACGAAAATTTAAACATTACTGTGATTAATATAATGAATTGTATTTTAATACTTTTTGAAATATTTTTATTTAAATATTATTAAAATATGTTTGTTAATGTGCTCTTCAGATCTTTAGCTTTCATCTCCATCAGGAGTATTTGAAAAACCTTTTTAATTTTTTTGTTCTTGTTTTAGTCTTGGGTCTTCCATCCATTGCAATATATATCTATAAAACCTAAAAAGCTGCACAAATAATTTTTAAATAGCATAAATAAATTTAAAAAAATTATAGACTAAAATCCAAGAGAAATTACAAATGTCAGAAGAATTTGATTTTGGGCGCTTGACTTTGTCCTATAAGTGAAAAGGAATTGGTGACAACATTATAAGGTTTATTAAAAAAAAAAAAAGAACAACATAATTCTTAAATTCTTAAAAACAGAAATAAATTCTGAAATTTTGATAAAACAAAGCATACAAACATTGAACAAGTGAAGAACAAGGACACACTGAGACTAACAATAGACAAAACAAAGAAGAGGTGAGGAACATCTTAAGAAATCAAGAGCAACAGATGGAGATTAAGCAGAGAAAAAGGCTAAAAAAAGGAAAAAGTGAGTTGTGCCATTTGTTCGTTCCATGGTGGATGATGTCATATAATGGCAAGTATGGCTCAAGGGTCCAAAGAGGCAAGATATGGCAAGCAGATAAGTATTAAATCTATCTCAAATTATGATTCATTACTAAAGAGAGATACAACGAGTAACTAAACTCTTAGCATATATCTATGATAGCATATACATGACATGATATGGGTTTAGGTTGTCACAAATATTAAAATTATGATAAGATTTCAAACAATTGATATTAAGTGAAATAGTTTAATATAAATTTAAATTATATCAATACGAAAGAAATGATATAACACTTTTAATATATTCTTTCTAATCAAATCTGTCCTAAAAAATATTTTTTGGACAGAACAATTTCTCAAGAGTTTTATTCTAAGTATGTTATTTGATAAATAAAAAATCTTGAAATAAAAAATAAATCTTATTGTCGGATTAAATGGGTGTATTAAAAAGAAAAAAACACAACAATCTTGAATTACAACGTGCCTTTATCGCATGGTCCTCTTAAACCAGAACTTTCTACTCTGATTTACAGTGCAATGCTAAATTGTTATGTAGCATTACATCGCGTATCATATCATGTAGCATAACTATAAACTATGGCATACCCCGTGGCTTCACATGAATCATTTTTTCTGTTTTCTTTTTTCTTTTTTCTTTTCTGGTTTTAAAAGGTTTCCATCAACAACTTTGGTGGCTTCAGTGTTACATGCAATCATAAAATCATACGCTTTCTCTAATCCCAGATTCTATTTACATTTTGCAAAGTTTCTACATGCTCCACGTTATTCAAGCTTTTTATTATCATTCAAATAATTCTTTTTAAGTTAAAAACAAAATATTTTCTTAGAATTATGCAATGGAAATGAACTTTTCTGTGTAAGTGATTACACTGCAACAATAACGTTTTTGGATTTAAGAGAGTAATAGCTTCTGCTGTATCCCAAATATAATTTCTTACTTCCTAAACTAACATATATATATATATATATATATATATATATATATATATATATATATATTTTTTTTTTTTTTGTCACATTCTATAATTTTTTTTGGCATTTATTAGAAATTATGAATCTTTTAATCTCACATATCTTTATTTAGAGTCTCATTCATAATTTTATATTATATAATAAAATTAATTAACCACAAAAAGTGTGCTAGACGTTTTCTCATAGAAGTCAAGAATGCAGGGCAGAGTATTAATATCTTGAGTAGTAATATCTGCAATATATCTACAAAAACTGTACTTTCTGCGAGTCACTCACCATTCTTTGTCTTACGTTCTACCTTCAGAAAATGAAGAATTTCTTGGTGTTATTGTTTTACTTGTTTCCGGCAATCATTACTATCATTCTTGTGCTACTTTCTCCTGTTTCTAGGGCACAATTAACGACAAGTGAGAACAGAATCCTTCTCCAAGTTCAGAAGTTTCTTGAGTATCCTCAAGTTCTTCAAGGATGGACCAACTTGACCAAATTCTGCTCCCTCCCTCCCTCACCTTCTATCAACATTGTGTGCTCCAATGGCCATGTAACCGAGTTAACCATCATTGGGAACAAAAGCTCCCCTTCTTCTCAAAGAATCCAACTTGTGTCTTGGAATTCATCTGAGATTCTCTCAAAAAGATTCTCCATTGAGTCTTTCTTTACTGTCCTGACAAAGCTCTCAAATATGAAGGTGTTGTCATTGGTGTCACTTGGTTTGTGGGGTCCTTTACCTTCCAAGATAAACAGATTCAGGTTTCTTGAAGTGCTGAATGTAAGCTCAAACTTCATTTATGGGGAAATCACACCATCAGTCTCCTCTTTGAAAAATCTAACGAGTCTTGTTTTGGCTGATAATCTTTTCAATGGGAGTGCTCCTGATCTTGGAAGACTGGCTTCTCTTGAAGAGCTCAATTTGGGTGGCAACAAACTGGGTCCTGAATTCCCTTCATTGAGCAAGAATCTCGCAAGGGTTATCTTGAGAAACAACTCTTTGAGATGTAGAATCCCTCCCCAACTCATGCATGTTTATAACCTTCAGATATTTGACATCTCTTCCAATGCAGTATTTGGAAATGTTCCATCGTTTATTTTCTCTCTTCCTTCCCTCAAGTACCTAAACTTGGCTGCAAACCAATTGAGTGGTGCCCTTTCTGTGAATGTATCGTGCAGTTTTGCTCTAATATTTGTTGATATCTCACACAACCTCTTGGTGGGAACATTGCCACCATGCATAGGTTCAAAGGCTTTAAACCGAACAACACGTTATTCTGGGAATTGTTTGTCAACCAGAAGCTTAAATGATCAATATCCATCTTCTCATTGCCAGAAAGTGGAGGCCTTAGCTGTTAGACCTTTACCTAGAAGCCAGAAGAAGGAATCAAAGATGCAACTAGACGTAAAACTTGGAATTATTTGTGTTGTGGGAACTGCAGGGCTTTTTCTGGTTCTTCTCATTCTGTGTATCTTCAGAAAGTTCAAATCAGAAAAATCAGACAGTAATTATAAAACACGGATCTCTGCTGCTGCTGATGTCCGTGCATATCCAAGATCAAATATTGACGCAAGTAAGGACATTAATATTATTTTTATTATTATTATTATTATTATTATTTAAATAACTAATACTCTGATCTTGTTATCTGCATTTCTCAGAAACGAAGTGACAAACTTATTGTTAAGGGTACTAGAATGAGTTTTATATCCTTTGTCTCAAGTTATATATGTGTAAAATGACTTTATTTTATATTGATTGGTATTAAATTAAAATCATGACAAAAATGAGTAATTTTTAAAAATTAGAGACACTATATTTGCTTCTATTTAGGGGAGTAAATGCAATTTATTTAATTAATACGATGATAAGATATGATATAATAGGCTTAGTTGTTATTATACGATGCTATGATAAATCGTGTACATGTTAAATTTAGATCATAATTTTCGTTCCTGTTATGATAGTTTAGTGCTCTGTAATATTCCTAATACTTTATTTAACTCATGCACTAATTGTTTTCTTTTGCCGTGTGCAAATAGAACATGTTCCTCTAGCAACCAGGCAAACTTTTCTTGGATTCCCACCATACTTCATCTTTTCATTAGAAGAAATTGAAGATGCTACAAATAACTTTGATCCATCAAATCTAGTTGCAGAAGGATCACAAGGACAGGTAAAAGAATTTTCACAGTTGTTCGTTAGTTTCATAATGATACTGTCTACAATACCAAGTGGTAATGGCCTATATACTCTTGCATTACACAGCTATATAATGGTTGGCTCTTAAATGGTTCAATGGTCACGGTCAATCGTGTAAAACTAAAGCAGAAGTGTTTGCACAATAACATTATTGAGAGCTTGAAGGTATTACCCTATTTAAGGCACGGGCATTTGGTGAGTGTTCTAGGACACTGTGTCACTACTCAACAGGATCGTCCCCAAAAGATAAGCACCATATTTGTTGTATTTGAGCATGTGTCAAACGTGTCATTGAGGGATTACCTTGCAGGTGAACAAAAATTTCGGATAGAACTAACTGCAGGAGCAAATTAACATTAGTGTGACCAAAATAATGTAACATGGAAATTCCTTGTAACAGATGGGATAAAAAAGGAAATGTTGAACTGGCCACAGAGAATGGCAATCAGCATAGGCATTGCGAGAGCAATCCAGTTCTTACACACCAGAGTTCGTCCTGGCATATTTGGCAACAATATAAAGATTGAGAATATTCTGTTGGATGACACCCTCAATGCAAAAGTTAGTGGATACAGCATTCCATGGCCATCCAAGGTTAGAATTAAAGCAGAATATATGTAATTTCGATAGTTCTCAGTAATATTTGCTTTCAGTGCCTCTCTCAGAAGTCTCTAACCTCAATGAAATTTGATTTTGTCAAATTTTAGAAAAGTCTTGACAGCAAACTTTGTGACCAAAGACCCCTCAATCAAATTGGAAGGTATTTCTCAGTTTAATATATATATATATATATATATATATATATATATATATATATATATATATATATATATATATTTCTTCGACTGGTGCATTCATAGTATAAAATGTAATCCCAATATGCAGCATCAATAACGCAGAAAAGGAGGATATATATCAGTTTGGTGTTATTCTACTTGAAGTTATCACTGGCAAACTAATTACATCTTGCAGTGAAGAAGAGAAGCTGAAGGATGAGGTCTGCATAACATTTTATTCGTAGTTAGATATGTACTATTGGATATTTTTTTCCCCATCTTTAATGTCCTGTTTGTCATGCTCAGCTGGAGAAAGGTTTATTAGAAGCTGCATCACCATCACTAAGAGGTGCATCGCCAATACTAACGGGTGTGTCCGATTTTTCCATCCGGGAAACTTGTGTGTATGAATCATTGAGGACTGCAGTTCAGATTACCATCAGTTGTCTCAGCAAGGATTCCAGTAATCGCCCTTCAATAGAGGATATTCTCTGGAATTTGCAGTACTCCATGCAAGTTCAAGAGCCGAGGATCAGTGGTGTAAACCTCTTTACAAAAGTGTAAACTTGCTGTGACAAAATTGTTTGCTCACAGTTCATAAGTTATTTAATCACAAAGAACAAGGGCTTGTTTGATTCTCTTCTCAATTTTTTTTTTAAATAATTCTACAGTACTCTGCAATCTCATCCAAATTCTATTACACGACAAAAGAATCTCATCGAGTGATATAAGCTACAAGAATCAGATTGAGATCTCCTCAGGAGAGGACAAACATCGATTTTCCTTTCTTGATCTCCTTTTCCTCTTCTTTACAAGATTAAAAACTCTGCACCTCTGGTTCGAGTGCTCAGAGGTAAAAATTTTAGAAAACGGAAATGTGTATTACAAACACTTCCAAATGTGCTGAGGAAACAAACAAAAATTCAGAAAACAGAAAACTAACAAAGCCTAAATGGAATTGTAAATAAATAATTTCTTAAAACAGACCAGCACTGCTCAATATTACTATTATGAAGTACCTTCCAAACTTTTATTTAGGTAACTACCTATCTATCTCCTGTTCCGCTTCCTTAAACCTTTCAAGGTACAGCTTTTGCTTAGATCATGGGTCCAACATAGTATGTTAAAGAAGTTGTCCTACCTCATAAATTCATAATAATGAAACAAAATGAACAATGTTGAACAAAACATGATTCTGCACCACATAGAGATCATAAGGCGGAACATCCATTCATATAAGTTTGAAGAAACACATTATAAAGGGTTACAAACACAATTGTTCTTTTAAGTACTTATATGAAGATCCTTTGAAAACCTTTTAACAGAAATAGAAGCCCCAAGATTATTAAGCCTTCCTTCAAGATGCGCGGTGCACGGAGCAGATTTGATATAGGTGCATTTGATGATCCAATAGCTGAACTTGCAAGATTGAAACAAGAAAGGGCTTGACTATCTTGAAAAGTAGGACCCATTGCTAGCTCGGGTAGCTATAAATGAAGAATTGATATTAAGCTTCTTTCTTTTTGGTTTAACCATTGAGTTAGAAAAATCAGTAAGAGTTCATAGATCAACAGCCGTTCAAGAAGCAATTTGAATTGCAAGATTACAAGATGAGGTGCTTCAAAAAATGGCAAAGAAATATTCATCTGATAAATCATTAGGTTTTGAATCACAAGTGAAATATGCAAGATCATGTCCTCTTTTTCCAACAATAGAAGTTATCAATTACTACTTTGTATCAGAATCAAACTCAACGTTCTACAACCTCAACACCAATGGCAAATTCAAAAGAATCAACTGCAAACTTTATCTCCAGAAAACAAATTAGCGAAAGGATTGCAAAGGGTTTATTTTGATTTTGTGGTGAAATGATATAAAGACCATAAACAAAGGTGTAAGTAAGGTATGGGATAAGTTAAATGTCATTTTTAGTGCACAAGAACAAAAGGTTATGGCATGGCATTAATATCAAAGTCAGATGGAGAGCGATGCCGAATAAATAAAGCACAGTTTAAATTTAATTAGGTGGCTGATGCACTCTCAAGACAACAACAAGGAGGTACTTTGGATGCAATATTTCATGTTACATCTTAGTTGCTAATTAAGGTCAAAGATTTAGGAAAACAAATCCAAAACTACAAAAGATAGTAGATGAAGTAAGGTTGCATCAAGGTTTAGGTTGCATCAAGGTTCATACAAACAATACATATTGGACGGAACAATTCTAAGAAAAAAAAGTGAAATAGTAATTGGGACGTATCAAAACATAAAGAGAAGAATATTGTACCATTTTCATAACAATGTGATGGGTGGACATTTGGGAGATGACCTAACTTACACAAGAATTAAAGATAAGCTTTATTGGAAAGGATTGCAAAAAAGAATTCAAACAATGGGTACAAGAATATATCACTTGTCAAACAAAATAAGTCTTTCACTAGTATAGAATGAGTATTTTAAGTTGTATATTTTGGACTTTTTATATCGCATATAAGATTGACATTAAAATGGGAGACATAAATTTACGTCGCTCCTTTCGTCTCGACATAAATTCACGTTAGTTATTGAGACCCAATATTAATATACATTGCATATACCACTAAACAGACGTAAAAGACTTCGTAAATTTAAAAAATTGGACGAAATTTACGTTGCATATATCACTGTACGACGTAATTTACTCCTTTTTTTTAATATTGAGTTTATTTTGTCTTATAACCAAAACCTGTAAACATATATTATAATCAGACAGTCCAGAGGTTCAAGTTTTTTTAGTTAATAAATAATAAATACAATATTATATATAATTCAAATTACAAAAGTTAAATTAATACATCATACTAATACAAAAACTAGGCTACCTAAATTACATAATAAAATAATATGATACAAACAATAATCTATAAACTAAAAGTTATTACAAACTAAAAGTTAGTACAAACTAAACTACCTAAACTACATAATACACACAATATAATACCAACAATAAACTACAAACTAAGTACTAGAATTGTTGAACGAAAAACATTGCTCATTGTTCTCTAATTTGTGTGATATATCATGTTCTGACAATGGAGATGAATCTTAAAATACTTGAAACATTAATTTGACTCTTGTAAACATGCAACACGCATAAAGTTAAATAAACTTAACTAATGTTAAAAACAATTACCTTCATCCAAGAACCAGTTATATTTGCATAAACTATGACTCTCATCCAATACATGACATAGTAAACACATTCAAATACCTAAAATATCAATTTGACTCCTGTTAATATACAATACACACAAAAGTAAATAAACTTAACAAATGTTGAAAGTAATTACCTCTGTCGAATAATTATTTATACTCACACAACTTTTATGTATTACATGTACTTAGGAGCATATTTTGGAAAAAATGTTGGGACAAATCCCCTTTGGGTATTTGTTCCCTTTTCTTCGTCTTTTTCTCTTCATTTTAATATGTTGTGCGTCCAAATCTGACATATCAGTCAAAAGTTATCTTACTTCGAACATTTTCCGTTTTCTTTATCATAAAACCCTAAACCTAAACCCCCAATATACTGTATTTTTGTACTTGTAATATACAAATTACAACAACAAAAAAAGTAGGATTTAAACAAATAATCACAATCTAGTGGAGACATTCATGTAATAACGTGATTGAGATCCCCAAAAATAATCACGGATTCAATTTGAACATATAACAGGAGACATAGAACACTAACCTCAATTATACATGAAAACGATTTAAAACTCAAATCCAATTGGGGAGAAACGTCAAATTCGAAAAATGAGACACAATATTGATATTTTTCACAATTAAAATAATCGAAAATGGTATGGAAATGATAGTTGTCGTCGTTCTCCTCGTCATTTTCAAAAAACCCTTGTTACGCGAGATGAGGGAGTGGTCGCAAAACAAATAAAAATCATTAGTTTTTACGTCGCACACTACTGTATGATATGTAAAAGAAGGCTTTTACATCGCACCAACCCAAGTGCGACGTAAAAGAAGGCTTTTACGTCGCGTACAGTAATGTGCGATGTAAAAATCCCGTCTCTTATTTACAAAATCCTTTTTTGTACTAGTGTTTATTGCAAATATAGACTGGGTTACTTCAACCACTTTTTTTTCAAGATAGAGCTTGGAAATCCATTTCAATGGATTTTATTGTTGGTCTTCCTAAGGTTAATGGTATGACAATTATATTTATAGTTTGTGACAAATTCACAAAATATGTTCATTTCACACCATTAACTCATTATTTTGGAGCAGTTAAAGTAAGACAAGTATTTATAGATATTGTTTTTAAATTGCATGGTTGGTCATCTGAGAATTTCTAAGGGATAGATTTTCATGAGTGCATTTTGGACTGGATTGATGAAACAAAACGATGTTAAATTGTTGAGGTCCACTACTTTCCGCCCTCAAATAGGTGGGCAACTTGAAGTCTTTAAACAAAGTCTTAGAGAGATATTTAAGATATAGAATTAGCGACCTCCCAAAGAAATGGAGAGAGCATATTTCTTTAGCAAAATTATGGTGCAACACTAAATTCCACACAACAACCAAGATGACACTATTTGAAGTGTTATACGGTTGTCTCCAAATGAAAGCAATACAAGAATATTCATTAGTCGCTGTGAGAACAAGAGACAAGATTGTCAAATTGTTGCAAGACAATTTACACAAGATCTAAGAGAGAATGAAAAGGTATGTTGATCTCAAGTGGGTAGATAAGGAGTTTCAACGTGAAGACCTAGTTGATTTGAAGATACAACCTTATAAGCAATTGAGTTTGGCCAATACAACATTTCACAAGTTAGCTGCAAGGTATAATGGCCCTTTCAAGGTATTAGAGAGAGTTGGCAAGGTCACTTACAAACTTGACTACCTGTTGGCACACGAATACATGATATTTTTCATGTGTCAATGCTTAACCAACATTATGGTACTCATTCAGTATTGCAAGAGCTTCCATTATATAATGAAGAAGGGGAGATGCAACCACAATTATTGGCAGTTTTGGATAGAAGAATGGAGAAAAAGGGTCATCAAATTGTTACGGAGGTGTTGATCCAATGGCAACATACCCTGAAGACATAGTTTAGAAGGAATTACTATGCAATACAATTTCTAAATTTTCATTGACATGATATATGGTCTTGGGGAAAAACATAGTTGTCCTGAGAATCAAAGATTATAAATAAACACCTGTGTAAATTCTAGAGGTTAATCAAGAAAATTCTAAAGTGATTCCTCTATTGCTCTTGAGAACTAAAATGATTGCAGTAGCAATTGGGTCTTCTATTCTCAATTAGTACAAATTTCTATTGTCAATAATTACAACAGCCAAGGCAGGTAAAGGTTCCTTCAGTTACAATCCCTTAAGTTATAAGCCATAAGGCATATGAGGTCTCTCATAATCCCAGATAAGTAAACAATGACTCGAATAAACCATTTACTGACAGAAAAAAAGTACATAGGTTTGAGATGTATACAATCAAATCAATGTCAACATAAAATAGTCTTTAAGCAAGGTTAAAGTATTGAGAGTTTATATGACTTCAATTGAGAGCTCCATTGATTTTGTAAAATGCCCAAACGTATGCTTCCATCTGCGTAAACTAAATTTGACAAGAGTAAGGGAATCAGAACTGGAAACTATTGAAGTTGACAAAAGTTAATACTATTTATTCCCTTGCACATCCATTGATCCATTAAAAGAAACAAAAAGGCAAACTTGATAAAATATTTATCAAGAACAAACAAAACCATTAGAACGATTGTTGAAGCTAATATCTTATCCAACGAAATAAAATGAATGTAGTAATTGCAAATGAACCGAAAAAAATTTCATTTTATTGAAACGAATGACATAATTATAGAAACTGTCTATTTATATAACAAATTTGTATTATTTTATTTCAAATAATATAATATTTTAATTTTTATTATGTAATAATTTAAATTTATTTATGTTCTTATCTTTTTTAATATTTTTATTTTCTATTTTAAAATAATAATTAAATCAAAATTAATTAATTTATAATATATTTTAAAAATCAAATAATTCTATTTTTCAAAAAAAATCCTAATGTCAAGTTAGGTAGCACGATTTTAATAAAAAATAAATAAACTAATGTAACTAATACGATATAAAAAAAATAAACAAAAACGATATAAAAAACTACCTAGTATGATATAAAAAAAATACCTACAACTAAAATCCTAATATAACTTTAGTGTTGAAATTGTATTTTTAAACATAATTTTATCCATTTTTTAAAAATTTATCAAATATAATCATTTTACTAATATTATTAGTATAATCCAGTATTGGATTATTCATAGCATTATATATATATATCCTCTTTTGCAAGCTGGTTATTTGTTAGAACTGGTCTAAGATATGTAGGAAAGTCCTCTCTTGGGAATCTACTTTTGGTCAATTATTACATTGGTGCGAAGAAAATGCTTTCGGCACTGCATGGAGTGTTACAATATTTAAATGATTAATAATAGAAAAATTCTAAATCTTCTAAATGGCTTTATTTTTTAAAAACTTTGCTACATGTTTATAGTAGAATAGCAAATTATTCTAATCAATTTCAAACTTAAATTATCTAGATGCTAACTAACATATTGTTTAAAATATATTTTGTATTCTTGACTAAAATTTATTAGAAATCACAATTTTTTATGGGCTCGTTTTTAGTTAGTGAGATTTTAATATAATTTTGTAATTTTAAATACATTTTAGTTAATAATAAAATATGTTAGAAGAATATTCTCAATACTTTGCGTACAACATATAATAATTTGATCCAATACGTGGTATTACTTTTCATAATAAAAATACAAAAACATGCGCTAAGCCTAAAAAATTCATTTTAGCGAAAAGTATCCACCTCTTTAATAAGATTGAAAAATGTTTATACCTACACCTTTTTGCTCCACATAATTAACCTGAAACGTTTAATAATTTTTGGGTGTGAGTGACTTGTTTCACTTTAAAAGGGGTATTTTTTTTTTCAAAATAAATTACCAGAATAAATTAAAAAAAAAAAGATAGAGAAATGAATAAGTCATATTTGTAAAACACAACATTACACATTAAAAATCTGTCAATTTGACTTTCACATGTTTATAGGCCATTACATCAATAATCAATTTGACAATTTTGATTTTGTTTTTTGTTTTACAAAATGTATTAATGAAAATTTAAAACCATTAGAATTGTAAATGAAGTTATATATATGACAGCAAAAGATAAAATTCAGTTTTTTAACTTTCCCTCCATAAACTCCCACTTGCGTTGCAAAATGCTGTGAGGAGTCTCACTGGGTTACATGCACGAACATGTAGAAGACGCAAAAGCAAGAGATTAACATTCGATGAGGAGAGATCACGTATCACTCACAAAACTCGTTGCAGATGGTTTCTACAAAGAAGCACTTTCCCTTTTCTCCCACCTCCATTCTTCTTTTTCCCCTACCCTTCATTCCTTCACCTTCCCCACTCTCTTCAAAGCATGCGCCAACCTTCGTATCCTTTCCCACACCCAAATCCTCCACGCTCATCTATTCAAAACTGGTTTCCACTACGACACTTATGCCTCCTCCGCCCTCACCGCAGCCTATGCTGTAGCCCCTCGCCATTTTCTTGACGCACTAAAGGTATTCGACGAAATGCCCCAACCAAACGTTGTCTCTCTCAACGCAGCGCTTTCGGGTTTCTCGCAAAACGGGCGTAGCAGAGAGGCTATCCGGGTGTTCCGGCGAATTGGGTTGGGCCCCTTGAGGCCCAACTCGGTCAGCATTGCGTGCATGATCGGTGTCCCTCATGTGGGGGTCAACCATGTTGCACTGATGCATTGCTGCGCGTTGAAGTTAGGGGTTGAATTTGATGTCTATGTTGCCACCTCGCTTGTCACTGCGTATTTCAAGTGTGAAGAGTTAACTTCGGCAACTAAGGTGTTTGAGGAATTGCCTGTGAAGAGTGTGGTGAGTTACAATGCTTTCATTTCGGGCTTGTTGCAGAATGGGGTTCTTCATTTGGTGTCGGATGTGTTTAGGGAGATGATGAGAGAAGTGTGTTTGGAATGCAAACTCAATACAGTGACATTGGTGTCTGTTCTTTCTGCTTGTGGTAGGCTACGAAGTGTTCGTTTTGGTAGGCAGGTTCATGGACTTATTGTGAAACTAGAAGCGGGTGACGAGGTTATGGTGGTGACTGCACTTGTGGATATGTATTCGAAGTGTGGTTTTTGGCATTCTGCTTTTGATGTTTTCACGGGGGTGGAAGGGGACAGGAGGAACTTGATCACATGGAACTCCATGATTGCTGGAATGATGTTAAATAAAGAGAGTGAGAGAGCTGTTGATATGTTTCGTCGTCTGGAATATGAAGGGTTGAAGCCTGATTCAGCTACTTGGAACTCCATGATTAGTGGGTTTGCACAACAAGGAATGTGTGGGAAAGCTTTTAAGTACTTTAGGGAAATGCAGACTGTTGGTGTGTCTCCGTGTTTGAAAATTGTTAATACCATTTTGTCAACGTGTGCAGATTCATCTCTGTTACGGCATGGAAAAGAGATACATGGGTTTGCTATAAGAACTGATATCAATAGGGATGATTTTTTGGCTACTGCTCTGGTTGACATGTATATGAAATGCGGGCATGCTTCTTGGGCACGAGAAGTTTTTAATGAGTTTGATGCAAAACCAGATGATCCAGCATTTTGGAATGCAATGATAGGGGGGTATGGAAGAAATGGAGACCATGAATCTGCCTTTGAAATCTTTAATAAAATGCTGGAAGCAAGTGTTCGACCAAACAGTGCAACGTTTGTTTGTGTTTTATCTGCTTGCAGCCACACAGGTCAGGTTGATAGAGGGTTACAAGTTTTCAGAATGATGAGAAGAGAGTATGGCTTGCAGCCAAAGCCTAAGCATTTTGGTTGCATTGTTGATCTTTTAGGTCGGTTTGGTCAGTTGGGTGAGGCTCAAGGCCTGGTAAAGGAATTAGCAGAGCCTCCTGCATCTGTTTTAGCTTCTTTGCTTGGTGCTTGTAGGTGTTACCTATATTCAAATCTAGGCGAAGAAATAGCCATGAAGATTTTAGATATAGAACCAGAAAATCCAACTCCTCTAGTGGTCTTGTCTAACATATATGCCGGGCTGGGAAGATGGAAGGAAGTAGAAAGGGTAAGAGGGATGATTACGGATAAGGGATTGGACAAACTCTCTGGCCTTAGTATGACAGAAGTTGCATAAGCATAAAACTTACATAAAAAATCTTTTAAATAAAATGTTCTCTCAGATAACACAAGAGTTTGTTACATTTGGAGTGTTTCATCCGTATTTAAACTTCCATAAAAATTATTGACTCATCATCTCCTTCACTGCAAATCCATAGTAATCATCAAAATGGTAAGGAGGTTCAGTTACAAAACAAGAGATAACATCTCTCAGTGTAATGACTCCAACTACTTCATCCTGTCCATCTACCACATGAATCCTGTGAATAGACTGAGAAGCAAGAGAATGGATCACAGCCTGCATTGTCGAGTCTAGCTTGCATGTTATAGGCTGGCCAAAGTTTCCAGTTTCCAAGGATGAAGAGACAACTTCGTTCATGAAATCCATCACAGTCAGCTTCCTGAAAGTCAAAATAGAGTAGCAGCGAGGAGAACATTTCAGTTAAGTAATTAGTTCCCTTACAAGCCTTGTAATAATCTATGATGTCCGTCTCCTAATTTAAAAAAAATAAAAATATCACCTCATACGCCACTCACACACATGTATATTAAATATAAATAACCCTGGTTGATTGATTGTATTTTATTTTTCGAATTTGTTCCCATTTGTTTTATTTTTTTTTTACCGGAAAATGTGAAGAAAATATCTCAAGGTGCCCCACCACTTATATGCCTCTCTCAAAGAGAGTTTTATTGTTAACTGTAAAATCCATTTTCATCTGATTTTGGAGTTCTTGACGGAGTGACATATATGTCTCACTAATTAATGTCAAAGCTGCATAGAATTTTTTCTTTATCTTACCTAAAATTGGTGAAAATCTCAGGCCTTAGCAGCAAGTGTCTGATGTCTCGTATGCTCAAGTTTCCAACAATTCTCTTCTTTGGCCCCTCTACTACAGGAAGACCACCAATTTGATTATCCCTCATTTGCTTGAAAGCTTCAAGAATCAATTCATTGCTCTGGATGCTAATAACCTGGATAGGAAGAAAATTAAGTTTTTAAACCTTCAAGCCAAGGGAAGCTGAAAATTTAAGACACCAATCCTTGCCTCAGATGTAGACATAAAAGGAAGTCCCAGATCAGATATACACTTTTCTGCAATGCAATCAAACCAATCTCTGCCTTTGCATCTCTCAAGACCTTGGACAACTGCAGACTGAGTAATGAAGTTTACCATTTCAGGTGTATCTGACTCTATCACAGGTACATTCCTCAGCCTATACTTTGAGAGAAGCAACAAGACAGTCAACATAGCGCTATCTCTTCCAACTGGAACAAAAGGTGACCATCGGTATGATTTAAGTATTGATCGCACCTGAAACCAGAAATCAACATAAATGTATCTTTTTCTTTTTAATATGGAGGTAAGGGAAGAATTTAACTAACCTATAATTGGCTTAATTTATGAAAAAAAAACATCCCAAATGTAATATGTAGGAACATAGCCATCCTTTTTCTGTGATTGGCTACAGCCGACAGGTACAATAAAATCTAAATATAGAAATAAATAGCTAATAACCAGCCTAGCTCTGGTAGCATTTCCTCTAGTATTAATGAGACATCCTTACTTAAAAAAGATTCCTTCCCAATGAAGGAAGAGAAGTGCTCATACTAAGGAACAGAGCGAACACCAACATATAAGCCATGAACCGACAGTTAACTCTAGAGCCTCTGGCATCCTCATGCTTACCGTTGTTGACTTAAAGGGTTCTTCTTCCAGTATTACTTTGTAAAAGTCTTCTCCCAGGTTATCAGCAGCTTGAGGTGCATCTTTAGCCATCATATTTTCTGCAGCAATGCCACCTGCCAGGGCAGCACCTGCTGCAGCAGCAGTTAGTCCAGCAATTGCAGCAGGGCCTGTCACTCCCAATGCTAGTGCTCCCAAAGCACCCACGGTTCCTGCACCAACTCCAGCAACTGTTGCTGTACCTGCTGATAGAGCAGCTGCTGCAAGTTCTGCACTCTCCAGCACCCAGAGAATGATGGCTGAATAATCTATAATGCCAAGGTACTTGCCTCTCCAATCTGAACTTGTAACTGTGTCTGGCTCTTTAACTGGTGCTGCTAAAATGTTGCTTTCAGATAGAATCTTAACTGCTTCTCCTACCGTCGTGTCTGCTAGAATTTCAATGACTACCAAGGGCATTTTTTTACATGTTAGTGCTTTTGCCATGCAGATCCTTGACTCAAATTAAATGCATAAGATGATAGTTATGGATTGAATGCTTTGATATGGTTAATCCCTTACCTTTTCCGCTAGGAACTGCTGGAAAAGAAGAGACTGGAATCTTTGCAAATGCATCTGTCAAGGTTTCCTGCAATGACTGCGGTAGCATCTTTCTAGATTGTATGGTATCGAAATAGGTGTCATACTTTGAAAGTGAGATGCTTGTTTTGAAGTCCTGTTCTTGCGCCATATTTGGAACTAAAGGCATGAATTGGTATTAATTGATGTTTCAACAATTTTCATGAAAGTCGTAGAGATATGTAGACACTGTCTACTTGGTTTGCGTTGAAATAAAGCTATCCCTTTCTGCTGTCAAAAGTTAGCGAGATCTATGGGATTCTGTTACATTTTTTTCAACAGCATCTTCTGAACTGTGGAGATTTAACAGATTCCATTGTCATTTTGGTCCATTAATGTCTCAGATCTTAATCATCCCCTGGGATTTTGTTTCTCTCGAATGTGAAAATGAAATTACAAGCGACTGAAAATCCTAGATGGCGTGATAGCATGGTTTCATGCAGTAATTCTATGTATTACATTTTCTTTGGTGTGGAATGATACTCTATATTCATTAGGGAAAGTGACTTGGGATGATATTCATGCTACTCATCGGTCTATTCATCCTCTAGAGGAACTAGTAATCATAACTCATTTCGTATGAATATAGAACGATAGGCCATATTGCCACTTCCACCAAATATGATGTTGGATTGGTATGGCTAAATAAAAACAATTATATATCATAGGAGTGATTTAAATTACAATATTTGGTAAGAAATTGTTTATCTTAGGATTCATAAATCCGAAACTGAATGTCAACCGCGAAATCAATAATTCAATTCCAAATTGTTTCGTGAAATGCCTTTAAATTGTAATGCATGAACGGGATACTGCTTGACAATGTTTCTAAATTGTAAGCATGATAGTAGACTATTATTTGAAACCGTGAAAAGATTTATATAAATGGAGACAGATTTTATTGGCTGCTTCTTGAAATGTTTCCAAATTGTAATGCATGAATGACAGATTTTGATTTGAAACCATGAAAAGATAGATATATATGCAGAAAGATTGAAGTTGACATACCTGTGAATATGTGAATGCCAATAGATTCAGAGTCTGGGAGTTTAACTCTGCGGTCTATTGCAAAATCAATTATATCTGGTTTTTGGAATGATTGTTGGGGGTTGCTGGCATTGCCAAGTGTTGTTGTGGGACGTGTGTCAAAAGGGTGGTTAAACCATTTGTTAACCACTACTTGTTTTTCATCCCTTGAAGCACTGTACTGGTTTGATCCTGTCTCACCTCTAATCTTGACATCAATATAAATCTCCACCAAACTTACGAGGCCCATCATTCACACGTAAGCCAAATGACCCATTATCTTAGAATGTTTCTTTTTCTACTCCAATCATTTCTTTTGCACCCCAATAATTTATTTTGCATTCCATAATTATGTAAAATATTAAAAATGTCCTTCAGTCAATTTTTCTCGAGTGTCACACTTTCATATCAACATCTACACTTTTGTTTGCCATACCTCCTCCACCTTTATCAAGTATCACTTTTTCTTTTAAGATTAGTGATTTATGTTTTGAATTGTGCAATCCAAAAAACTTTTAAAAAATTATATTTGATTTGTATTTATGATGTTTTAAAACATCAAATTCGAAATACATTTTTGAAAAATATAATTTAAAAATGAGTTTTGATTTTTTAGACTGTATTTTTCATAAGAAATTTTCTACTTTTTTTAATATTCTGGAATCAATTTTTTTAGAATATATTTTCAGAAAATACAATCTAAAATTGTATTCCAAGAAATATAAATTTGAAAAGCATTTTCAAACCTAGATCCTAAACCCTCGACTCATTTTCAAAACGAAATTTCTATAACATATTTATAATAGAGATAATATTATCGTTTTAAATAAACGTGGAAGTACAGTTAATGTATAGGATGCAAGAAGAAACAGTCTTGCAACTTCTTCCACTCTCAAAAATTTAGTAGAACTCTCTCAAAATATATAAGTTGTAATGTACTCTATTTACCTTTCACCAAGTGTAGCCTATGCTACCCATTTTCTTAAAATAAGCCCCTATTTCAAGTCAGAGGAAAATAAATTATACAAATTATTAACAAATTAACGTATCCTCTCGATGAAGACACTCACAATATTAATTGTGATTGAGTTTTTTTAAGCTTCTAAAGAAATTCAAACACCTACCTAATTTCAATTAATTTGATAAGGGTTTAAGTGTGTTTTTAACTCTAGTTAAAAGAGTGAATTTGGTTTTAGTTCTCACTATTATAAGAAAAATCAAAATTTTCGACAGATAAAATTCGTCGGTAAACAAGAAAATTCGTCGGTAAGTACATATTACCGATGGATTATCGACGGTCCTAAATCATCGATAATTGTGTTGTCGGTAAAAATTATTGATGGATTTTGCTAGTCCGTCGGTAAATGTCATAGATAATTACCGACAGATATTTTCGTGGGTAAAGTTTGACTTACTGATAGATATATCCGTCGATAATTATCCATGACATTTACTGACAGACTAACAAAATCCATCGGTCATGGGTTATTACCGACGGATATATCCGTCGGTAAATTCTGATAGGCGGTATGTTTTCGAATGAGTTACGGATAATCCGTCGATAAATCCATCGATAATTACTAGTTATGCGCATAACTATATATCCGTTAGTAATTACCCATGACATTTACCGATGAATTAGCAAAATCCATCGGTCATGGGTTATTACCGACGGATATATCCGTCGGTAAATTCTGATAGGTGGTATGTTTTCGAATGAGTTATCGACGGATAATCCGTCAGTAAATCCGTCGATAAAAACACCTTTATTTCTAGAGTCATTATATTTTTGTTTCATCCCATATAACTTGTCAAAAAACAATTAAGTCCAATTCAATAATCTATTCCACATTCAATCCAGTTTAATTCAATAATTTATTCAACAATCTAATTAAACATAAATCTAACTCAACTTAATAATAAGTAAATTCAAATGTACTGAAATTTATGCATAATGAAACATAATGTATAATCCTAAAAAGATGGTCAACATACAAGTACAATTGAAATATTATTCTATAGATGTTTGTATAACATTTAATAGTCAAAATAATGAGGAGAATGATGTTTTGGTATGTTGTCTTCCTATGGTGGGTTATCTTCTTACTCTTCATTCACTTGCTGTTGTTGGGGTTGTTCTTCAGCATCTGCTTCACTATGTTGGCGTTGTTGAATGAGAGACTGTGCAGGGGGGGTAGAAATTGACCGACAAAGGATTGAAACTCTCTAAATTGTTGCGCTAGTAGTTCGTTCTGCCCCCTTGTTCAATGCATTTCTTCTTCTTTTGTATAGATAATCGTTATCTCAACTGATTCATCTCTTCTAAGTCAACTGAGGAGCTGGATGCTTGAGTTTGATGCTTCAATCTATCTAAACCACCCTGATAACCATCAGCAAGTTGTCCAGCCCCATACAATCTTCCTTTATTCTTACCTCCAACTATGTCCACCCAACAACGAGACCTTATAACTTCATTATCAACAGGAGTGGACTCAGGTTCGCCAACACAAGATCCAACAGATGACCTAGCTTGTGAAAGTCTAGTTTCAAATTCCTCCTATTAGTAGAAACAAATAAATTATAAACATGATTATTAACTTTACATAATATATAAAGTTTAAAGTGAAGGTTCTTACGTATGTCTTCCTAGATCTTTCATCAACAAATTGACCCGTTGTCCTCCTAATATAAGTTTGTTGGAAGATCTCATCAGTAAAAACTGATCTTCCAAGCTTCTTTTCCTACATTACATAAACAATTTGAGATATAAAACCCGATAAATATTTCAAAATCCTAAATGCATGATTAAAAGACTTACCATACGCATGACATGCTCATGTGTGCTGATAGAGCCACTTGTGTGAAGACTCCCACCCTTTTCAAATGCCCTATTTTTTTGGGCTTGTGCAGATTTGGACCGATACATTGGTGAGCTCCAATACCAATGTGCTAGCAAGCTACTCCAAACGTGATCTCCAATCTAGTCTGGTCTTTGACCAACAATTCTTGTATCCCTAAACATCTCACTAAGTCTGTGAGATGCTTTGAAATGAAAATTCTTCTTTATTTGATGTTCATGCTCTGGTCTCCACTGAACCTTCATCTATAAAAGTATAAATTGTTATACACACTATAGAGAAATGACTACAAAACATATATTCAATAATTATAGATATATACATTAATGGAAATCAATAATAACATTAAACATCCTTCTAATAATTAAGTATGTACACAAGATTAAGTTACCTTAAAACATTGAAAATATGACTCCTTATCACTATTAGGTATCACTCCCCATGAGGCCCAAGGCTGAAGAAATTGTTGTTTAATACTCTTTGTTATAGCTTGTGATTCAACTCTGGACGAAAGAAACCTAATTACAAATAAAAAGTAATACAAGTTACATATGTGCTGAAAATGGCTAAAACTTAGTTATAATAAATAAATTTGAGAATTGAAATTAAATATTACCCTCGACCATAAGGTTCAATCATCGGTCGATCATGTATAGCAGAAACATCTTCTCCAACCTCTAAATCAACATCTGCAGTAGGTGAGTGACCTTCAGAGGAGGAAGGTCTTGAGGCCACAACAGGGGATGGGGATGAACAAGGAGTGGGTGCCACAACTGGAGAGGAGGAAGGTCCTGAGACCACAATAGGGGATGGAGATGGAGAAGGGGTGGATGCCACAACTGGAGAGGAAGCAGGTGCCACAACTAGAGAGGAAGCAGGTGCCACAACTGCAATAGAGGATGGTATGGGTATGGGTGCAACGGGTGTGGATGATATAGGCGTAATGGATGGTGTAGGTGCAATGGATGGTGTAGGTGTAATGGATGGTCTAGGTGTAGTGCATGTGAAAGGTAAATCTATGAAAACCACTTTCAAAATGTAACATTGTCTCTTTTTCTTTGATATTACCTTCCCCTTTCCTTTATCACTAGTAGAGGGTGGGGGTTGAGGTAGGTCAGAACCTCCTGTGAACATATCTATACATAGAAAAATAAGATTATGAATAACTTATGATGTAAAAACTCATATAAATTAAGGGACACTCAATTAATAACATAATTCATAACAAATGAGGGTACAATATGTTTTTATTACAAAATCAAAACACTTATGTTTCTAATTTTATTCAAACATTAGGCTTCATCCTCATCATCGTCATCCTCATCCTCATCATCTTCGTCATCCTCTTCCTCTTCCTCTTCCAATTCTTCAGGATTAGCTTCATAGTCATGTAATCCAAATATGTCTTCCACTTCAATGATTTCATTGTCATGTAACATTTGATCTACTTGGTAAGGGGCATCCTCTTCCACACCATCAGAATCAATACGACATCTTGGTTTTGTTTTGATTGCAACACACCAACCACGCTTGTCTATTCGAAATTATGGATATGGGACATAATACACTTGTCTTACATTATGTGCACGGATAAATGGATCAAATGGTTCATATCTTAAATCCATTTGAATATCTACAATATTATATTTAGGATCCACTTTTGTACCTCTTCTTGATGGATCAAACCATTCACAATAAAAAACCACAACTTTTTTGGGAGAACTTGAAGAATTGTACTCCAACTCATATATTTTCATAATTACTCCATAAAAATCATCTTCACCACTTTCTGTCAAACCCTTAACATAAATATCACTGTTTATTGTCTTTTTTCCCTTGCTCCATGCATTTGTATGAAATTTGTATCTATTCACAAAATATGTGTGTCATTCTTTAACGCATCGCATAGGATGATTGGATAAATCCCTTAAGTCTTGATTCTTCACACTAAATGGCTCATAATGGATCTACAAATATAAAATGCATCAAATATTACATTAATACCTATATACAATATTTAAAAAAGAATGGTGACATCCATACTTGTTGCCTAAACCATGTAGGAAATTCTGCATGAATCCTAGCAGATGCTTCTGATTCACTTATTTGCTTTAATTGCAAGAATGAGTTGTCCAAATAGAAAATGCTAAAAGGCTACTTTAAGAATGTGACAAATAATTTAGTAATGAAATTGAAAAGATATGTGCTTTTAACCTACTCAAGGTACGGTTTAACTTCTTGACAATTGATAAATACATGAACATGAGCTGACTTGAATTCAGCATCAGTTAACCAATGAGTCAACTCCCGCCCAGATGGACGACCAACTTGTCGAAATACTGATAACACTGACAATTGTGTTTGACTGTGGAAAAACATTTCATTTGCAGGT